CCCCAAAACCCCAAAACCCCAAAACCCCGCAATGCATTTAAATCTTCAAAAAAATTATTTTAAAATAGTTTCTATACAATTTCTAACTAGATAATGCTCAAACGAAAATTCAAGTAGAGAAGTTATTTCATTAAAAGAATTTAGGAGTTTTCAGATGATCATCCTCGTTGATTTCTTCTATCAACTCTAATTAAAACACTCTATTCATCTGGCTTTTGCTCTTTCTTTCTCTTTAAGTTTTAATATGTGTATAGCCATACAGATCATAAATGTAGTTTATCAAGCTTTAGCAAAGCTGATAGAGAATGAATAGACATTTAGGCAAATTAAAAATGCACACTTCACCGAGTGAATTCAAGAACATTTTTTCAGTCTCAACAATAGACTCTATTCCAAACTTTTAAAGGTCAGCACAAGATTTAAGAATCAAAAAGTGTTAGAAAGCATCATATGAATGATGGCAATATGCTTAAAGTTACTCCCATCCTTAGCTTAGCTCCTATCTCTCATATATAATCAAATTGACTAACTGCATGAAACAATTGGCCAAAGATTCAATTTCTTCTCTTTTTACTTTATTTATATCTATTTAATCGACATTAGTATCTGAAATCTCCTTTATCAAAAATGGACTGAATTTGGAAATAATTACCAGGAGATGCTACTCACTGGATTGATCTGGCTTTCTAGTATATTTTAAATATTTTTCTCTTCTTTATTATTCTTCCTAATCTTCACAGAAAGAAGTTTGCTAATTTGCTGAGTCTTTTTAATTGATTTCATTGACAATATCTTTATTTTTATCATCATTATTAAAGGAAAAATTTGAATGTCTTTCTGCAACTACATCTGCACTCTTGCATCTAATATTATTTCCTTATTTTTTCAGAATTTGTGGTTTTGGAGATTTCTATCTAAATGTTTTAACTTTAGGTTTGATATTGCTTGAAATATAATTAGGGTCAATCTTTTGTTTCAATTTTTCTCTTTGTTCTTTTATTAGAGCTATACTCTTATAGAATATTGCATTTTTCCATAGAGCTAAGTCAACAGTGTCCTCATTTTTAGTCAATTTTATAGCCTTACTTATGTTTTAATGATAATAATCAACTTTTTCTTATTTTTACTAATGAATAATTTAGGAAAGCTCTTTGTCTGCAAAACTAAAATCACTTTTGTGCCCTTTTTATCGCAATTTTTACACTGAATCATTAGATGATCTTTCCCTAGAAGGACTATTATATTGTGATGACTTAGTTTCCTAGCTTTATTTAATTATGCAATGGGAATCTACTGCTTGCCATCTTTATGCTCTCCCATTCAAAATTGGCTTATTAGATTTATCTCTGAATTTTGAAGTAGAAGATGTTTATTTAAATGCTGATTCATTTTTAGATGGACTTTTATTCAAGGAAAATATCATGTTCTTAATGGGAGTTTGTTTATCTTTAGAAATAGTTGAGTTAAAAGTCTTAGAAGTTGTTGTTATATTGATATTACGAGATTATTAATTTTTACGAGGAGTTATTTCAATAGTTTACTTTTTATTTGAAATGACTTTTGCGCCTATTGAAATTTTAGAGGAACTTTTATTCATTAAATAAATTTTATCTATACTTAAATAATTAGAGAATTAAGAAGCTCGGGGTTTTGGGGTTTTGGGGTTTTGGGGTTTTGGGG